CGGGCCTCTACAACTGTCTCCGTCTCGCAGAGAAATAAATATGAAAAAAAAAAAAAAAAAAAAAAAAAAAAAAACCAACAACCTTGCTCCGTATTTTTATCACTGCGTTATTATGTATACGTTATGGGTTTAAGGTCATAAATTTATCAAACGGAAAATGGGACACGCTTTATCTGTACACACTATTACAATATGTACGTGTATTACGATGATCGAACGTCGGTTTTGTTATTTTATTTTTGTAAATAAATTCGTTCTTTATACGCGCCGAAATATTAAACATTAAAAAAAAAAAAAATACGAATACAATAATACGAAAACGGTACACGCGAAATGTTCAGTTTCGTGCGCCCGGTACAATAATATAATAACGAGATAACCTTTTTTTTCCCGATTCTGATACGCCGCACCGTATAGTTTACGATGTACATGATTATTATTGATTGTATTACGCGTGTTGCAACACTCTGCGAAGCTTTCTCTGTAATTATTACTACACGCGGTGTTATTATTATACCGTCGAGGTATCGGCAACACGTTTAGGGAAAAAAAAAAAAAACATTTTAATATCAACGCTAGTTATAATATGTTGTTTCCGTAATAATAATTCGAGTTTTCAGAGATTTAATTACGTATTTTTTTTTCGTTTATTTTCTGTACATAGCGTTAATCGAACGGTATTGGTATGAAAATCAAATAGGATATTTGAAATTTTGTATTTGTTTTTCGATTAACTATTGTACCGTCCGTTCATCTGGAAAAAAAAAAAAAAAAAAAAAAAATATGAAAACCCTCGTTTGTTTTTAGTATCGTTTTGTTATTTCGTGGACGAACGAGTCGTTTAATGAAAAAAGTACGAGTAACAATAATATTATTATAGGAAATTTCGCGCATTTTTTCGCTTATTATAAATATTTTATACCGTAATTGCAAAGAACCGAACAAACGTATTTTTTTTTTTTCGGAACTTGAATTCGTTTGAGGCACGCCTCGACCAATGTTTTTATACATTTAACAAAAATTATTTTTTTTTTTTAGTTTTAAACAAATTCTGGAGGTAGCCTGATTTAAATTTGAAAAAATAAATTCGCTGTTTACACGATAAGGACCACTGCAGCAGTAATACATGCATTCCTACATGTGTTTCCCGGTATACTTTTGGACATTTCCAGTGGCTCCTTCCGGACCGAATTAATTCCAACTCGAAAATTAGAGTTGTTTTGTAGACGGATTAAAGTGATAACATTTGGGTCGAATTTCAATAAGGATGTTGTTGCACGTGTGGAGTATTTTTGGTTTTTATTTTTTAGCTTTATACACTCTAGCAAACTTCCCAGACGACACCAGATGAGTGCAGTTCTGAATATTATGCACAGTGTTAGTATCAAGAATGTGCCTTCCGGGAGTTTTAACTTTCAACGGTTTTTGTGATGAAATTTCACTATTTTTTTTTTTGTTTTTCATTATTATTATTATATTATTCAGCTGTTCACTGTTTCGCGAAAGAATATAATGCCTGGTTGTACAAAATAATAGGCGGGGGATAATAATTCGACTCTGGTAACCGAGCTCTGCTGCTCACGGCTGTTTATTCAACAAATTTGTTATGAAACGTTCTTCTAGTTAGCATTTCTGACGTACTTATTATTATAAAGTTGTTATAACAGTTTCAGTAATATACGCGCTGCTACTTACGTTTATATCAAAAAAAAAAAAACCCGATTCGCATAGAAAAGTTTTTTTTCGTGATTTAAATTTAAACATAATTTGATTGTCACCCGCAGAAAGTCGAGACCTACGACGGCGGCAATATGATAACCGACTACGAAATAATTATATTTTATGATTATTTAAGATTAACGTGTACACAGGTATACAGAAATTGTACGAAATAATAATCGAAAAAGTCAACTCGCTGCAGTGGTCGCGGCGAGTTTTATTTTTTTTTATTATAAGTACTTCCGTTTAACATTGCGAAATTGAAAGCAAACAATACACACGATTCGGTCCGCAAAAACCATATATAAGATCTTTTCATCTGACAAAGACCTTTTGATGAAAAAAAAAAAAAAAAACCATCGTAATAGAATCTATTGTTGCCACCATAGCCGCCCGACGACCTTTTTTTTTTCTTCTTCGGTTTGAACCGAAAAAAATCGCACAAAGTAAATCACGAATTTGTATTTATTTTTCGTCAACCGTAGTAAAAAAAAAAAAAATAATAATAATAATAATAATAATAATAATAAAAAATAATAAAACAACCTCGCGAAAACGGTGGCGGCGGATAGCAACGCGCGAAACGTTATACCGAATGATCGAATTCGCAATAATATATAATATTATAACCAGGGCTCATAAATTTAAGCATCTCAATATTATTTCGAGTGCTTTTGGAGCCGGACACAATTAAAGCGAGCTGTAAATCGTTTTCGGAAAACCACGGAGCTATCTATATACGAAAATTCGTAGCGCGTATTTCGAAGTTTACGCGCTGTTTTGCTTTTTTTGTGCGCTCGGCGCCGTTTCAATACCGTACGATTCGTAATATGCTTAACGACAAGGATAATTCGAACGGTCCCGTATATGTCTGTACGCACATGTTTATGTGTTTTTATTTTGCGGTGGCGACTCAGTAAGACGGTTAATCGTATTGGCAAGGCAACCCCTATGGTTATATCTCGCGCGTTAGCGTTTTGTTTTCATGGTTTCTATAGATGTTCCGGTATCGTCGCTACTATTCTTTGTATATTTTATCGTTTTTTTTTTTTTTTAAACGCTTATAACCACCGCCTCAATCAGAGCCACTAGTTATGAGCCGTGATTATGACCGTATACACGTGTTCACAGCTTCACGGCGTGGAACCGAATGATAATCGGGACGGTCAGAACGAAACGGCCAAGTCGCGTACTGAGGCGCGAGACGCGGCGGCGAGTGAAGCGCTTGACCGGAAACCCCCGAGAAAATAGCGGGTCCCTCGGGAAGGCCGGCCCGGACTGTACGTGCGACAGAGCATCCGAGGACCTGACGACGTTCAGAGCGGAACGCCGTGCACGGGCGGAGCGTGAGGGGGGGGGGACGACGACAGACGGAAGAAAGCGCGGCCTGTAGCGACGGGCTCGGACGGCCTCCGGAGCCGGAGGAAAAAAACAAAAACAAAACAGGTACGCGATAATTTCGCGCGCAGGGAACCCGTACGGGATCGCGTCTCAAATCGAACGACCGCGGTAATTTTAAAAGCCGGATCCCGAAAACGGCCCATCTCCAATCGATATGTCTCAAGTTTTCCCTCTAAACGCGGCCGAAACGCACGCACTCCGACATCAGGTTGCTCGCATTTGTTTGTAAATTTTAGCCGATAGGGGAGGGGGGGAGAAGGGATATAAGCCCTGACCTTCCCGCCCTGCGCACGCCACTGCCGCCCCCTCCCCCCGCCCCGACGGTGCGCCGACGGCGGAACTTTCGAGACGCTCCGCGCGAAATGTCCGTTGTTGTTACGATGATACGCGAGACGCGCGACGTTTGCGGATCGATCGCGGCGGCGGCCGGGCGCATTCTTAATCCGCCGCGCCAAGGTGTAGGGCACGCGCCCGGGATTTCCCGAACCCTCGAAACGGCCGCCGATTGGCCGCCTGCCGAAATTAATTAGCCGCGCGCGCGGCCGGGATTAACTGCGCCCCCGTCGGCGAGCCGAGCGCCGCGCGAGGGTGGCGGAACGTTGGCGCGTGAACCGCGGAATAGGTTTCCGAAAAGGGGCCGGGGGGGGAGGGGAAGAGAACTGGTACTGGGCACGGGCGCGGCCGACTGTCGTCGACGGATTGCCGCGGGGAGGGGTCGGGATACGTTATAATAAAGTTATATTCGATTTACTCCCGCGCAACTATATTAATAACGAACGAACGATTCGGGGCGAAGTCCTTTTTCGGTTCGTACGCGTTTTGTAATATTTACGGTTCTCGTCGAAATTCCAATTTGAAACTCATTACAATTACTCTTACAATTTGTAAAAAAAAAAAAAAATAAAAAAATAAATAAACATATTTACATACTACATCGTTAAATTAAATTTTTTTTTTTTTACCACTAATAAATACGACTAATAGAATACGCACACACACACACACATACGTCGTAGTAAAACCATATCGATCCCTCGCTACGCTCCGAATCTAAAAAAATAGGGAACGCGGTTAGGCCGCGGTGCGGGTTTGACATCGTTCGTCCCGGTTTATGGGTGTGTCCCGCGGTCGACGGAGGCCGAGAGAAAAACACGACATTATTAAATATTGTATGTTATTATCATTTTTTTTCTTTTTCAATTTTTATTTTGATACAAACTTTAAAACAAAAAAAAAAAAAAAATGCATTATAAAATTATTCGGTACATAATGACGCACACGGTACACTTCGCAATGACGACACTCAGTCCGCGTGCAACTACTGGCAAACGCAATTTGTTGTCCATTCGCGTCGGTTAATCGAACGTCAACTCTGGGTGATAATAAACACAATAGTTAAAATTTTTTTTTGTTTTTTTGTTCGATTCTCTCCCGGAGAGGAAACGTCGCGCGAAATAAACGCAACGTATCCTATAGCTTTGAGTTCTATTTTCGTCTTGTACGGTCACTTAATGACGGCGCGGTTTTAATCCCGTGCGCCGCCGTTCCCGCGGGCGTCGTGGTTTAGCATAGACGCGGCTATTGTAAACACGGTTAGAGCGTTGTCGCCGAGTGTATTTTATTTTGATTTTTATTGTTCGCAAGGAAGCCGTTGAACCGGGTAGTGCCTCGGACTAGAAAATGTTGGAAACCACTGCTGTGTGTATAGTTGAAACTAGTTTGCACCGTGTTTGTGTTGTCCTGCTTGTTTTATTTTGCCGCTCCTCGTTACGCGTCTCTATTATTTATGTACATTTCGCGTTGTTTGCTAGAAGAAGCCGCCCCGCCTATTACAGTGACGTTTCAATTTTTTATTATTTATTATAGGCAATCGCTACTGCAGTCATTCGGATGCCGGCACCGCGTTCTTTTTAGCCCGCAACGGGGATCTCCGGTAAGGGTTGGCGCGTGTACATTTTTCGCGGTGTAGTGTGGGAAGCGAGTTCCGTTAAAAAGAATCCGCCGTATTATAAATTCTGGCTTCTTCGTTAACTGTTTTGTGTCGGTTTCGATAATAAAACGCACGGAATAACATTGCGGCGGTATCATCGAGCGTTACGTCGGACAACGAAAAAAAAAAAAAAAAAAAAACCTCACTATTCTATTGCGATATTTTTAATACACAATTTCCTGGGGTTTTTTTTTTCGGATTTTCACCGTCGGATTTGTATCTCGTATAAAAGAAGCAATTAAAAACTTTTTTCGTTGAAAATATATATATTTTTTTTTTTTCCCCGTGCCTTTATATTTTACTTTGTGGCATGTGCACGTGTGTACGGAAGTGTTTTTTTTTTCTCTACGGTGTATCGATCACTTCGGGTTTTAAATAAATAATTAATTTCAAATATTATTTTTAACATGCGATATGTGCGAGTACGTCTCGATAATAAAAAAAATAAATAACGAAAACATATTATTATTATTATTATTATTGTAGAACAAAATCACGCGGTTTTATTTAATGTGAAAAATCGATTTTGCGTTTCCTCTCTGATTTGTCGATAAAAAAAAAAAAAAAAAAAAA